AGCACGGCACCCTTGAGTCAGGAACGACTAGCATATATGTGTGAGGGGAACCTTTACCTTTACCGTATAATGTGAACAGGGAACACATAAATGTACTACTGCATATCACCTACAAGAGCCAAGGTGGCGCGGTGGTTAGAGTGCAGTACTGTAGCCACTTCAGGTGACTGTTAGCTGCTGCAGTTNGGCACATTCCTTGCTACCTTCTGCTACTCAACTCTAGTCTTCAAAAGGAGATATACTTAACACATCTCACTTTTTGATCCTGCTCCTCACAATTTTTCATAACCCTATGTTGGAGAAGACTGAGCTTCAATAAAAGTGTAGTAGTTTCATCTTTCTAATCTATTCGCAGTATTTATAATGCTGGGAATTGGAATACTGTTTTCTTTTAAATAAATTGTGTTCTTCAATTGCTACATCAACAAAGGTTACCCTCCCAAGTAAACCAGGATTAGATGATCTAATTCTACTTTATTGCAAGGCTACGTTATCAGAATTTTAACTGCTTGATCCATTAGGGCATGTCCTTCCTAAATTTCTTTCTCTGATTGTTAAGCCATTGGGGGCTCTTGCATCTCTCCTCTGATTGTTTCCTAGGCAGCATCTTGCCTCTCATTCCCCAGGGTCATCCATGCATTCCATTGCAACAATGATGTACGTTAAATCATTCTGACTTCCTGTGCTATGAGTTTAGGCTCATCTTGTTTATTTCCCATATGATAACAATGTACAGACACTGAAAATGATTACATTTATGAGCCAATACAATACAATGTTTCTTGAGATTTTTCACAAAATGGGCTAATAGGGAATATTCTCACATCATTTTACACTGCCAGAATCATTCTCCAAGGTCCTTACTTCAGGAGTTTTAGCTTCAACCCCCACCAGAATCAGTTTAAATCCCTCTTAATCAAGTTTAATGTGCTTTGGCCAACACCATATGCCCAGTCTTCATGAGGTATAACCATCCCCTGCCAGTAGTTTTTTGTTTAGAAAACTCAGAGTCGAGTTACAGAAGATAATTGTCTGTAAAATTGATAAGATTTAAAGGTAATTCTGTAACAGCTAATCTCTGATTCTGGTAGACAGTTGCTTCCATGAGCTGATTAAATCAGTCAACATGTTTGTTCCATGTAGTTATAAGTTACCAAGTACAAAGGCTTTTCTCAGTGTCTTCTTGCAAGCTACAATTACATAGATGCATCCTCTATTCAATAGCATCACTATAATTGTGAAGTATGTCCATTCTCTTTATGTCTTTTTCAGTGGTGGATTCTGGGCGGTACTGCCCGGTATGGGCGTACTGGTGGTAGCTGGGAGCAGCGGCCACCGTACCGGAACGGTGTTTTGGTAGGCCCGCATGCCTGCCTTACCTCTTTTTGAGGGAAACAGGCCAATTGTGCATGCGTGCACACCATACTTGCACCTGTGTGACCTCACGAGCAGCTGGAGCATCACAGGGTAGTGATGTGCGCATGCGTGCACAGCGCACATGCCCGAAGTGGACGTCCAGACCTGTCGCAGCGTACTGGTTGCAACGGGATCCGGAACCCAGCACTGGTCTGTTTCTTAAAGTTTACAAGTAGAAATATGTAGGAAGATGACCAGGCTGAACCCAAGGGGTGAAATGTATCATTAGTTTCAAGTCCCTTCACACTCACAAGAAATCTAAGTCAAGAAGGACTAGGGGAGACATGATAGCAGTGTTCCAACATCTCAGGGGTTGCCACAAAGAAGAGGTAGTCAAACTATTCTCCAAGGCACCTGAGGGTAGAACAAGAAGCAATGGGTGGAAACTAATCAAGGAGNAAAACGGGGTCGTTGAAACTCAAAAAATAGAAGAAAACTTAATCCATCCATTTCAAAAGGCTTGCATAAATTCCATCCATGAAGATAGCATTTAAAAAGGAAAATAACCACTGTCCAAAAACATTCCAAATTTAATTCCGCCGCTTGATTCTTCTACCCTCCAATTTAGATTAATGTTAAGTTTTTTATAGGCAGTCTCTTTTTAAAACAGTAAAAGATCCTCACCAACTGGAAACACTTTCTCTTTCCGTATCCTTCCGTTTTGGAGCTGCCCCGACTTTTGTCAGCCTTGGCTGGATTTTTGTCGCTGGCTTGAAGAACTTCTCTTGCTTCTTTCAGGGATTTTGTGATATCCCTGAGGTCAGCAAGACACATTCTTCTGTTCACCGTCTCTTCGGGACGGTTTAGGTCCGATTGGACCACCCAGCGGCAAAAGTATTGGCTGCGGTCTCAGAGCATTGAGACTGCACGTCCATCTCGTACGACACTTTTTGTCATGCCTGGCTTCACCTCTTCTCGCCTTACAACCACAATTGAGCCCAACATTTATGTTGCTAAGTGAGAAATTTATTAAGTGAATTTTGCCCCATTTCATGACTTTTCTTGCCATATTTGTTAAGTGAATCACTGCAGTTGTTAAGTTGGTAACACAGCTGTTAAGTGAATCTGGCCTCCCCAGAAGAGGATCACATGACCCTGGGAGACTACAACCATCATAAATGTGAGACGGCTGTCAATCATCTGAATCTTTATCACCGTGGGGATGCTGCAACGGTCATATGTGTGAAAAATGGACATAAGTCACTTTTTTCAATGCCATTGTAACTTTGAATGGTCACTAAATGAACTGTTGTAAGTCAAGGATTACCTGTAGAAAAATACAAATACTGTATTTTTAGAGGACCAGAGGAATGCCATCAATATAGTTTACTTGGACTTCAGTAAGGCATTTCATAAGGTAGACCATCCATAACCTACTACTAGATAAAATAGAAGAATGTGGGTTAGACAGCATCACCACCAGATGGATTCATAACTGGCTGACCAACCGCACTCAATGTGTAGTCCTCAATGGATCTGTGTTGTGACTCAGCAGAAGNTTTGAACTTTGTCTCGAGGCTCGTAAATTAATTAGGTCATCTCTTGGGAACTTCACACTAAACATTCTTGCCAAAACCTTGAAGTGAATTGGACCCTGTGATCTTAGATGATCCTCTCTAGGACTCAATGTAACCTATAAGTGTTGTCCATAAATAATTTGGCCAAAGTGCGAGTGAAGAGGATTTTTTGACAGGGCATAAAGTGCACTTGCTTGGAAAATAAGTCAGTTATTACCCAAATCACTGGGTTTCCCAAGCTTTCAGGCAGTTCCACTATAAAGTCTATTGAAATATGTTTTCAATGGGCTTTAGACTCAGCTATGGCTGGAGCAGTCTTGATATTTTTCCTTGTCACCTTTTGGTACGGGCGCAGATAGGGCAGCTAGCTACATAGCTCTCTATGTCTTTCTTTAGTGACAATGGCCACCAAAATTGGTGCTTAACTAAGTGCAAGATTTTAATGAAACTGAAGTGTTCTGCTACTTTTAGATCATGTCTTTTTTGTAAAACCAACAGTCATTTCCGGGAGTTACAATTTGTCTCCCACCCAAGGTAACCCATCTTGTATCGTACATTACCCCTTAAGGGCTTGGAACTACCTGTCCTACCTGAGCAATTATATTATGGCAGCCTGGATAAGGCATCTGCTCGGACGGTGATGGTGAACCTATGGCAAGCAGGCCACAGGTGGCATATGGAGCCATTTGTCAGGGCACGCAAGGTGTTGCCCTGACTTCAGCCTTCTTTTGAGGCCATTTTTCGCCCTCCGGAGGCTTCCGATTCCTGTGTGCGTGCAGGAGACAGCGGAACCCTGGCCCACCCTATTCCACGTGCGGGCATGTGCACAGGAGGTGATGGACCAACACTGCCTTGTCCATAGCTTGCCCATTGGCTGCCACAACTGCGTCCTCCTCTTCCTCATGGATCAAGGGACGCAGCTGCCACTGCCGCTGTCATCAGCAGTGCGCTCCCTGTCTCCAGCTACTGCCCCATGATACTCGTCCCTACCAGCTGTTCTCCACCCAGAAGTGGAGGCTGCTCCAGGTACAGCCTCAGGATTGCCTTCTCGCTGCCCCCACTGAACTAGCCCTTCACCTGGATGAATGGCCGAAAGTTCCATTCTCCAGCAGCTGCCAGGCGATTCTTGTGCTCCACAGCCTTTTCCACAGCAGCCGCAGCACGTCCCACCTGGTGTCTCCTTGAGCAGGGGGCTGCTGCCACTGCTGGCCATGTGGAGGAGGCTGGGAGAATGGAACTTCCAGCTGGCCAATCAGGGAAAAGGCTGGCGTGGAGAGGTTAGCGAGAAGGCAATCCCAAGGTTGTGGCTGGCCTCTGCTGCCAGGCGGAGAGCAGGCTGGGGGGGCATGAGAATTACAAGACATTGGATAGAGAATGAAACTTCTGGCTGGCCAGGTAAGGGCTGCACAGTGGGGAAAGTGAGGAGGGGTGGCTGCTGGGCAACGGGGGGGGGGAGGTGTCCAGTAGCAGAGGCTCTGCAGCTGGCCCTCCAGGAAGTTTCGGTCTGGCCCACGCCATCCCAGCAGACGTGTGTGTACACAGAAGACAGCTGGGATGGTGGGGACGGTTCCTGCATGAGCTTTAACCCACTGACTCCCATATGCGCATGCTCCTCCCCTCTGTCCCCAGATATAATCTTGATCTGGCCTGTGGAAAAATCGAATTTGATCCCCCTGGTAGTGTCTCTACCACTTCCAGGTGAATATAGGGTGGGGGAGTTCAAAGTAAGAATGCACATGTTATTAAGTTTCATATTAAAATGTAACAAATTATGTAGTTTACATTGTTGTAAGATAGAATATTGACTGCACCAGTTTTCTGCATCTCCTATTGGTCAAATTGATAATTTCAGGTGATCATCGTTTCCAGTTCCTGCTTCTCTATTTCCACAATCTTCTCTGCTCTATGGAAATGGAGGAAATACTATGCAAGTTCTAAGGAGCTGGTAATCTTGACAACTGAGGTTTTCCTCTTTCAATGTTATTTCCCAAATATTCTATTTTTAAAAAAATTCATATATTAGACTTGCCATTCTTTCTAGAATTAATGCTAAATAGCAGCTCCTACCTTGATATATTTCTTTGGATAAAGAAAGAAAAATGGTTTCAGAACAGGAGATCTGGAAAAAAAAAGGTACAAATTAAAAATTGATGTGAACAGAATACTTTTCAGATGGCTTTCATACAGTCCTTCTAACTCCTTAAGCCCAGTTATAATGCTTGGGGTAACAATTTAAATATTGACAACATAATATAATTATTGATGTCCCCCCCCACCCCTCCCAAAATGCTGGCCTTCAGAAAATTACTAAAATGGAATTGCTTCAGAAAGCTTTTTGGTTATTGCCAGTACCTTAATTGATTGTAATTATATATTACAGATAATCTTCAAATTATGAACTTTAACCTTGTCCCAAAGGTGCTCTTTCCAAAGTTAACTAGGCTTTCTTGGTTTTTTCTTTGAACACATTTTGCTTCACATCCAAGAAACGTCTTCAGTTCAGGGAACTGAATGATCTGGATGAATGAGAATTTCCACAGACAAACAATCTTAATCTTGCCACTGTTGTTTTGAAGAAGGTTGAACTAAAAGCAATGGTCCCTCTCCACAACTTCAATTTAAATAGCTTTTTGTTCCCTTTTATTATTCCATATAATCATTCCCATTTGCCACATAGGTCTGCCACTAAACAAAACCTTTGTCCTCAGAGTACTCCACAGTTTTTCACTTCAACCAGGTCCTTACAGTACTTTCCACTTCTTCATTTGAGTCAAATAGTGAGATCAAACTCCACAATTCCTTATTGGATGACTTGTGAGATGTGAGAGCTAGGATAGTCATATTGCAGCAGAATGTCCATCTTGTGTTTCCAAGCGCTGCTTAGCAATTTTTTGGAGATACAGTGTAGCATTCTTAGTTATTATGGTAGAAGGTTCAAAGGAAGCCCTGTGAATAATGTCATTTGTAGCTCAACAGTAACTACATTTTCTTGCTGAAGCTTACTTTTTTTTTTTCTGTAGATGAAACTGTTGTGATGATTGTCCATAGACTTATACTTCATTTCTAAGTTATGTGTTTTGTTTTATGAAGATATTCCTCAGATTCATTCTCTTGGTGTGATAATATTTTCTGGCAATTTTCATCTTTTGGAGTTTTTATCTTTCAAGAAACCCTTAATCAGGTTATCAACCCTTCTCAATTGAAACTCTTTTCCTTTTTAAATTTATTTTAATTTTTAATTATATAAAATACAAAGAAGAGAAGAAAAAGATAGGAAATTAAGGAAAGAAAGGGAGCGGGAAAAGGGGTGTGTGAGATACAAGGGGAAAGAGAAAAAAGAAAGGGGCATTGATTTCCAATTCTTAGCACATTACAAGATGAATGCACTCCACCTCAACTTTTTGCTTTTACACATTAATATATAATTAGCCATTCGTATAACATCAAATCTTTNTGACGTCAGGTACGCGCTTTAATCGGGCGCGCTTTAGTGGACCGCGGTTTTGACAGGTCACGGTAATAACAGGAGCTCACTCCGTTATGCGGCTCTAGGGATTCAAACCACCGAACTGCTGACCTTCTGATCAACAAGCTCAGTGTCTTAGCCACGGAGTCACCACTTCCCACTAACGTTTACTAATAATTTGTAAATGCTTTGACTTTATCTATATTTAATATTAACCTAAAGACTTCAGGCAGTTTACATTCTTTACTATTGTGCAAAGCTGGACTTAGTTTGCCCAGCATTGAAAGTTCCCCTTGGGAAGTCTAAAATAACTTTAGTATACACAACAGATGTAGGAAATACAGTGGTGCTGAGTAGAAATTCCAATAGTTAAACTATAATAGTTCAAACTCCACAAACGCTTTTTCTCCCCCCTTCCTAAACTAGAACAATTAAATTTGAAACAATCAAGATAAGCATACAATAACAGCAGAATCAATTTGGACGCTATGTAACAAGAATTAACCAGAAGAAAACAAAGTAATTTGCGGTCAGAAGTACAGTGAGAAGACAACAGATTGTATCTTAGTGGCCTAAATAATTATTTACGGTACTGGACTAAGAACAATCCATCTCACAGTAGGCTGATCCAAGAATAATTTTACTGGCAACAAGTCCTCACCTAATTGCCTTTATTTAATTTCTGTCAAGTGCCTGGAATTCAAATAATTCCCAAATTCTGTTTGCATTGCTGACCTGATTCACACATTATGGGAAATGATGCTCTGTCTAATTATAATTTGTTGAATACATTCTAATGTCTGGGTTCATAGCACAAGCAAAGCATGAATAGAAATATATGAACCCATCTTGTATATCTAAAGAGCTACAGATTATTCCTAAAAGAAAGGGATGACTGGGGGGAAATGCAACACCTTTCTTTTAATTTGACGACAAAAATCTTCTGACAGTTGCTTAATTCACCTACTTACTTTCAAGGATAGGCGCACTGCGATCATTAACTTGAGCCACTTTTTTCAATTTGGCCCCTTTACAAATGTCTTGTAGCAGAGCATTTCTCCCTCGCTGCTCATCTCTGCACAATTTTGGTGCTTCTGTGTTTGCCTGAAAGGAAATATTGCACCAAAAAAAAAATGAAAAAAGATTTCTTATCCCTTGGCAGCCTGAAGATCACAAAAGTCGTTCATTTACACCATCAAAAAAAAGGCTGCATGTAATGAACTGTACACTTTTGCACAATTCTATAGCTAGGAGGCTTGTACTTCTACAGCTAAAAAATCCTTATCATGGCTTTCAAAGAACCACTTTCACCTCATCTGCAATTCCTACTCCTTCCATTATTTTTATCCATCAACCTACAATAAATATTTCATTCTTTGGTCCATTTATGTATATCTGTAGCATTGAAATCAAATCACTCTTGGTGGTCAATCTATGAGCACCTAATATATTGGATGTCATAACTCAGGATCCTTCCAGCCCTACTTCTTTATAACATGTGAACTAGAGCAGTAATGGGATACCTCCTGAAGGATCAATACAAAAGGTATATAATAATCTGTGGTCTTCATACATACAGTGCATTCAAAAAGTAGTCAGACCCGCTTCACTTTTGTCAAATGTGTATGCTGCAGCCTGATACTACAGTTGTTGAAATTCAATTTTTTCTCAATAACGTACACTCAATACTCCATATTGAATAAATGAAAACAGAATTTTAGAAATGTCTATAAATGTATTAAAAAGAAAATAACTGAAATATCACATTGGCATCAGTGTTCAAACCTCTCACTCAGTATTTTCTTGAAGCACCTTTGGCAGAAATTACAGCCTCAAGTCTTTTGGGGTATGATGCGACAAGCTTTGCATACCTGGACTGGAAGATGTTCTGCCATTCTTCCTTGCAAACCCCCTCAAGCTCAGTGAGGTTGGATGGAAACTGTCAGTGAACAACCATTTCCAGGTCCCTCCAAGGATGTTCAATAGAGCTCAAGTCAGGGCTCTGGATGGGCCACTTTAGGACATTCACAAAGTTGTCCCTAAACTATTCTTGTGTGTTGGTTGTGTGTTTAGGATCACTGTCTGTTGGCCTAGTCTGAGATCCTGAGGGCTGTGGAACAGGTTGAGGATGTCCCTGTTCTCTGCTCCATTCAGCTTTCCCTCACCCCTGTCCAGGCTCCCAGTCCCTGCTGCTGAAAAACATGCCAACAGCATGATGCTGCCATCCCCATGCTTCACTGTTGGGATGATTTTGGGCAGGTGATGAGTGGTGCCTGATTTCCTCCAGACATAACATTTAGAATTGAGGCCAAACAGTTCAATTTTGGTTTCAACAGACCAGAGAATCTTGTTCTTCAGAATCTGAGAATCCTTCAGGTGCTTTTTTTACAAACTCCAAGTTTCACTTTTGTCAAATGTGTATGCTGCAGCCTCCATGTGTTTTGCACTGAAGAGAGGTTTCTGTGTAGCTACTCTGCCTTAAGCTCAGATCGGTGGAGGGCTGTAGTGAGAGTTGTCCTTCTGGAACTCTGTCCCATCTCCACACAGGATCTCTGGAGCTCAGAAAGATCATCGAGATCTTGGTAACCTCTCTTACTAAGGCCCTTCTCCCCCAATTGCTCAGTTTGACCGGGCGATCAGCTCTTGGAAGAGTCCTAGTTATGCCAAACTTCTTCCATTTGAGAATTATGGAGGCCACTGTGCTCTTCGGAACTTTCAGTGCAGCAGAACTGCAGGCAGTTCCTTTGACCTCGTGGTTTTTTACTGTGCTACAGTTTGCATTGTCAGCTTTGAGGCCTTCTATAGAGAGGTTCCAAATCATGTCCAAACAATTTATCATAGGTGCACTCCAAGCAAGGTATAGAAACATGTCAGCAACTGTCAAGAGAAATAGGGGGCACCTGAGCTAAATTTCAAGTGTTGGTGCAAATGCCAATGTAATATTTCAGTTTTTTACTTTTTAATAAATTTACAGACATTTCTAAAATTGTTTTCACTTTGTCATTATGGGGTTCCGAGTGTAGATTAATGAGGAAAAAAATGAATTTCAACAACTGTAGAATTAGGCTGCAGAAGTAACAAAAATGAAGTGGGGTCTCAATACTTTCTGAATGCACTGTATATGATGAACACACTGCCTTATACTTTTATGTAACTTGGCGTTATCTACTTAACATATATAAATTTTAGGAATAGTCTCCAGTCCCCTAATCATCTTTGTTGCTCTTCTCTGCACTCTTTCTAGAGTCTCCACATCTTTTCTACATTGTGGCGACCAAAACTGAATGCAGTATTCCAAGTGTGGCCTTACCAAGGCATTATAAAGTGGTATTAACATTTCACCTGATCTTGATTCTATTCCTCTGTTTATGTAGCCTAGAACTGTGTTGGGTTTTTTGATAACTACTGCACACTGCTGGCTCATAATTAAATGGTTGTCCACTAGGATTGTTTGTCCACAAGGATTCCAAGATCCCTCTTACAGTTACTACTATTGAGGAAGGTACTGTACCTGTGCATTTTATTTTTCTTGCCTAAATGTAGAACCTTACTCTTTTCACCATTGAATTTCATTTTATTAGATAGTGCCCAGTGTTCAAGTATGCCAAGATCCTTCTTAAAAGTCTATCTTCTGGAGTGTTGGCTATTCCTGC